TGCATTATTTTGAAATTTTAGGGAATTGCAAATTCACTAGGATACAGCTGGTTTAAAATGCCAATAATAATTTTTACATTCCCAAGCGTTCTATGCAGAGCGTCTGTACATACGTGAATAATTTAGCACCCCTAAAGCTCCAACATCTCTCCACATGTGGATATACTTTTACAATACTATTTTTGTAGTATTCATGACTCGAAAGTTCGGAAATAACTTAGTTCGCATGTCACCACATATCTGCTGGCTTAGGCATGAAATAATATCAGAAACAAGAAATATTTTGAGAGAGCAAATATCATATGACAGAATAGTAATAATCATTGCTATAATGACTTTTCCCATTCTTGCAATATTTATCATGTCAACTTTGGCTAAGGAGTGAATCACAGTGAACCATGCAGCATCAATTTGAAATGTTGGCTTTCAATTATTGTGAAGCAATTTGAATAGAAATGCAGGCACTGACCACTGAGTGTTCTACAAAGTGGAACAACGAGTGGGCACCCATTATATTATTATTGGTCATCGATGTTTGTAGAAACACTACAAGTGCTTCATTATCACAGAAAAATGTCCCAAAAAACGCCACACTTATCACAAAAAAAGCCTTGTGAATGAAAATAGGCGCAAAGTGTAAACAAACCACCATGACCATTCGTTTGAAATTTCCTTGGGCGGCACATCAATATCCTCTAGTCTAGCCTAGTCTAATCTGGGATCGGATAGTAAATTTGTACAACGAAAAAACCTTTTGTAAAAAAAACCTCATAATAAACTATATATAATAGAAAATACTAACCTCTTACTAAAACTTATGCACGTTCATGGATATTAGCAAAATTACAAGAATTTCAGCTTATTTACATACTATACTGCATGACCTAATTGCATTGTCAATTTTACTTTGCACAAAAACATGCGACACTTTTGCTGGTGTAAACGAAATCAGAACTTGAAAAAGACAGCCTTTGTGTAGACTTTATCTGATCAAAATAGTTTTACGCACAAAATGCTTGCACACAACACTACTCTGATTAGATACATGATGGATTCTGGCGAAAATCCGCTTTAAGACGCACGATAATCAGAAGCGCTGATCAAAACGTAATCCATAATTGGTACCAATCATGGGATCACGCGACGTGCGAGCCGCTCTCTACTCGAACCCATGCTGCACGTGAAACAGCCGGTTGCCGAGGGTGAATCTGCATGCGTCTAAGCCGTACGTTTTCTTGCTGTAGGTGGTCGGGCTGCTGGTGCATAGCCTGGAACATGTGCCGTATCTTGTTCACGCGGCTCGCAGCAGCATGACTCGCCGGGTCTCGGTTCTCAACATCCGAACCTGTAACAGCGAGTAGCAAGTGATAGAAGCCTGCAAGTGTCACAGCCGTCCGGCGATCCTAACGATCGTGAGTCCGGTGATATAAGTGACAGCAACAGTGACCGCAGTGGCGGTGATGACGGTTATAACAATGACAGTAAGTGACAACAGTGACACTGAATACAATGACGGTGGTGACGATGATGACAGCGACAGAGAGAGAAGGTTAATTTGACTGAATGCGTCGACGTCAGCCAATCAAACGTTTGAAGAAGTAAGCGTGTCTGTGACAAGTTTATTACTAGTAACAGTACTGTCCCATAAAGAACGTACGTGTGTAACGCCTCTACAGGTACTACACCACAGAACAGGCACAAATGTATAGTACTACACAGAAGGTTGAGACGTATGCACCTCCTCTACAGGCGTAACAGAACCACAGACAAAGTACGTATTACCTCCTCTACAGACAAGACAGCTATACAGAGAAAGTAACCAGTAAGACAGCACGTCATGTCACTACTTATACACTTAGGGTTATTGGTACAGCGTAGGTACACTACTAGTCTACTTGCTTAATTATTCATTCACAAATAACGTAAAAAACTGCCTGGATAGTTATACGCATCGTTACTTTCATAATGAAAAGATTCCGATTAAAGCAATGTGGTCATAATAATAATGGATTGCATGAGTATTTGTCAGAAATATGAATCATGCTGTGACATTTAGTCTGATGACTATTTATTCTGCATTGACTAGGCTATCCCTACATTATTCTTATTTAACCGAAAACACATGAAAGTGCATACAATTTACACAAAAAGCCTGTTTTTATGATATAATAATTTTAAGTTTACCGAAGAATTTTGACATATTATTTTAGATTATATCATAAAATTTTAGGAATATTCAACCACAGAAGGGGATTCCATAACAGACGACTAGTCATAAAAGTCAAGTGCCAATGACGATCCTACTAATGTGATATATACAGCTAGTGCTTCCGTTTCTAACAATAGAATTTTACTAGATGAGAATTTTGCAAACACACTGTGCCTGTTGAGGGGGTTGGCACTTTGGCTTCTCTCGCCTCTGTGAAGACCTGGGTTTCACTTCAGATGCAATATTATTGCCAACATGGTCAATCTCCTTGCTCTTCACCTTGATCCAGGGAGGAGCTTTTCTCCTACAGCAGTTGTAAGCCGGCAATCCCCAGATACTACGACACAGTTCAACTACAACTCCTGCGCTAAATCGATTTACTGTCAACTGTGTCCGATCGCTAAGCCAAATGAAATTGCCGCCGCTGCTGGGCAATAATGACTCTAGAGCAGCAAAACGATTTGGCGATTATGGCGATTCGGCGACAAGATTATTTCGCGACGCGAAAAAATCATCGTGGCATGGGCGTGGTAAGCTGGACGAGGCTTCACGCGACTATCGCGTGCTGCAGTGCTTCAGGCCATCCTTAAAAATTTCTATGTTTGCTGTCCCCCGACCCATGATTTTTTTATTGGGTAGGTAGGTAGGTCTTTTTTTTTAGGCATAAGTTATTTTAAGTCTGTCCTCATGTTTGCCACACATGCTTTGTGTTTCAGTCTTAACTATGAGGAATGTAAAAAAAAAGAAAAAAAAAGAAAAAAGAAAGAAAGCGACTATTTTCGTGGGTCGGTCGGAGGACAGCAAACATAATTTTTTAAGGATGGCCTCACGACTGCCCGCCGGCGCGGATGGAGAGGATGACGGAGATAATCTCCTTTGCACGAGAGAGGCTGTTGTCGATGAGACCCGCTGGCTGCCACCAGAGTGCGCTACGCCTCACAGCGCGCCGCCGCTGCCCAGCGGATGACCGCTCCTGCCCGTGGTCTGCGCACCTCCGATGGCTGGTGGTCAGCACTGTGATCTGGTGAGCGATCAGTGATAGGTGGCGAGTTGGTCAGTGGCCAGAGGTTGGTCCGTAGCTAGCATTCAGCTTGGCATCGGTCAGAATTGCACTGGTGAGCGGTCAGTCGTTGAGCTGGTCAGTGACCGGTGCCGAGTTGGTCATTGGTTGGTGCGTAGCTAGCATTCAGCTTGGCATCGGTCAGAATTTCACTGGTGAGCGGTCAGTTGTTGAGCTGGTCAGTGACAGGTGGCGAGTTGGTCAGTGGCCAGAGGTTGGTCCTTGGTTAGCATTCAGCTTGGAATCTGTCAGAACTACACTGGTGAGCGGTCAGTCGTTGAGCTGGTCAGTGACAGGTGGCGAGTTGGTCAGTGGCCACAGGTTGGTCTTGGCTAGCATTCAGCTTGGCATCGGTCAGAACTACACTGGTGAGCGGTCAGTCATTGAGCTGGTCAGTGACAGATGGCGAGTTGGTCAGTGGCCAGAAGTTGGTCCTTGGCTAGCATTCAGCTTGGCATTGGTCAGAGCTGCACTGGTGAGCGGTCAGTTGTTAAGCTGGTCAGTGACAGGTGGCGAGTTGGTCAGTGGCCAGAGGTTGGTCCTTGGCTAGCATTCGCTTGGCATCGGTCAGAACTGCACTGGTGAGCGGTCAGTTGTTAAGCTGGTCAGTGACAGGTGCCGAGCAGGTCAGTGACAGGTGGCGAGTTGGTCATTGGTTGGTGCGTAGCTAGCATTCAGCTTGGCATCGGTCAGAACTGCACTGGTGCGCAGTCATCACACGCAGAACATCTTGCCAATCTAGCAATGCCGGGACTACGACGACATTGCTATAGACGCGTCACTGCAAGCTGCTTCTGTAGATACCTGTCAGTCGTCCGTTTGTGACTTCTTCGGCGAGGCAGATGCTGCAGGGACGCATTCTTTCACCTGAAGCCCGCACACCCACACTAGCATAGTCGACGTGTGCGCTCCCCGCACACAGCTGCCTGGGGCCGTGTGTGTGACCCGCTGAGCACCAGCCTCATCACGACGACTCTCGTGGCGGTCATGCGTGATGTTCGTTAGCGGGTAGTTATGCTCATAGGGTCTATGTCCCCCAGGGTACAGCCGGAATGTACCCTGGTACTATCTAATATGCCGGACCGTACCTCGCCTACTCCACTAACGAGTCTAGGGAGTCGCCTACGCCTACTCCCTAACCCTAACCCTAACCATATCAGATAGTTACCAGGGTACGTTCCGGTATATTAATACCGGACCGTACCCAGTACAGGGTACGTTCCGGCAGTACCCTGGGGGACATAGACCCTATGAGCGGTAGTTATAGGTCTGACACACGCGAGGAGGAGCATGCCAGTGTACAGTCATCATGCTGGGAATTATCACCGATGATCACCATGCATGGATCTCGGATCGGCAGAAATGTTGGCTAAGCGTGTGTGGGAGGGACCCGCATGACATGCAGACATGACACAATCTGCACAACAACATGTTTCGAGTAGTTAATAATAACAGAAACAATAATAATAATTTATTATTGTTATTACTATTACTGCTATCATCATCATCATCATTACCTATGGGGGTCAGCCAACATTTCTGTGTATGAGACTAGAGAAACACTACGACAAGGTGCACACATCTGCAGAACTAAGGACAAGCGGTGACACGACGGTGACGACTCTTACCAGCATCCCCGTTCTGCTGCGAGCGCGCTGCTGCTGCAACGCTGCCCGGCTTGGCGACGCCGTGCGACAGGCGGCCGGCGGGCCAGGCCGCGTTGGCGGTGGGCTTCACTGCCGCAACGTTGGACATGACGCGGCTGCCGCGGCGGCGGCGCGTGCGTACGCTCGGCTACGCTTAACAAACTAGCTGCCCTGTGGGGAAGATGAAAACAAACATGCTGCTGAGATGCGGAGAGGCGCACAAAGCCGGCAAAAGCGCATGCAAGTGTTCTCCCGGAGGCAGGCGAGGAGTGCCAGGAAGCCAGATGATGCTAATAACGAGCACAAGGTGGAAGGCAGCACTAGGAAGCCTAGGATCGCAGGGGGGAAGCGTCAAAGACACAAAACAGCTGGGTGATGGGTAATGCAGAATTAAATAAAACCTGTATCGATCACAATCAATATCAGATACCCTACCAGATAAGCTGATTGGATATTTCATATCGAAATGAATCGATGCAGGTTTGAAAGTAATTGAATCTCAGCGGAAAAGAATCATCAAAGAAACGACTGAGACGTTAATTTGCAAGTGTGTATTTAGGGAATGCCCTAATCTTCCCCCCCCCCCAGAAATACAGGAAGATTACATAAGCTATGACCCCCCAACAACAACCCCCACACCTCTGGTGGACGCATTCACATGTGTGCTGCTGCAGTGCGAGAGAGCACCGCTAATCATACATGTACCCAACAAAGAAACGGAAGGGGATCGGAATCATGGCCCGTAACCAGGCCACGAGTCTTCACGACGCGACCGCATGCCCCTCACCCTCCCCCCAATCATCCTCGCCCTCACAGCACACGCTGAAGCCACGCTCTCGCAGCATGTGCCGTGGGAGTGAGACTAATGAAGCTCCCTCACAGCAAAAGGGCGGACTCTTGTCATTATACTTCAATCGCAATCGGTAAGTCTCTGGGAGGGGGGGCAGTTCCTGTGGCCAGGGGGGCCGGGACTGATATTTTTCGGGATGATCGGCAACAGAGCGGGTGGTGGGACGAGCGGGAGAACACCGGTAAACATCATAGCTCATACGACACGTCGTGCGCGTGTATACAGCTATGCAACGGGTACATTAGTGATGATTACGACTTATTATGAACTAATATTAAAATCTATTTATGCCTTGTTGAAGCATGTCCTTCCTATAATATAACTCGCATGCATGCACACACACACACACGCGCACACACACATACATGAGCACAAGTATCACTCGCATTTATAATGTCATTCACTGTCTACTATGTGTCTAGCATTGTTGCTTTCGATGTTCGGATTCTTCCTACGTGATGACCATTCCCTATAATTATGTTAGGAAATGGGTATCAATATCATTACCAGTGGCTGTTAGCATTACGTTAATGTACGATAATGTTCTAATTGTAACCCAAACATAATATCATAATATCATTCAATTATTGCCATTGAATATTACATTAATGACTCAGCATGCCTGGCTGCACCCACTCACTATGTATTCAAAATGAATGTTTGAAACACAAAAACTAATGCGTGCATGCTGACGGAAAAACTGCAAATATCAATATATACATCAGAAGTAGATAATAGGGAACCCCCCCTACTATTTACTTCTGATAAACATGCTTACAAAAAGCTGTACTATATACATCACTACTGTAGCAATCTGCAATGTCACTCAATTCATTTCACTTCAATGCATTGTAACAAGTTCTGTTCTGGTAAAACATACTAGTTATGCTATTACTACGTGTTCAGATGACAAGCATTATAGCCATAATTCATTTTCAATCAATTACACTTTAAACATTCCATATGGGTGTCGTCACATAGATCTGCGACCTCCACGCCTGTTCATCACTAAACATCAACATATAATTACCAAGCACTAGCAACAATGTTTAATACGCTCCCGACGACTTATCATAAGAAAAGCATAGCACCAAACCAAATGCCTATCGATCCAACGTGAAATTAGATGAAGTCTGAAACGAAGTAGGAGGAAAATATAAGGGATCGGCTCGACATCATGCGCGTCACACGCGTGATGATTCCTGCCTCACGCAATATTCCACCGTCATTAAATCTGCAGAGATTGCTGATCTGCGTCTTCCAGGCGACAGCTGCTGTAGATAAGCCCAAAAGTACGTATAGCGTTTCCAAAACACACATCGCAGATATTCATGCATGAAAACGCCCCGCCCCGCGCATCATGCAGCTCTTGCCTTTGTAGGACGCATGAATGCAGCAGCATACTCGACCGCCACCGACCACTGCTACAGTGCTAGTATGAACCGATCGCTGACCTAGTTATTGAGCAAGTGGGTGGGGTGGAGGGGGGGGCAAAGCATTAGCATCACGATCAGTTATTGGAGGATCGGATATTGAAGGAGGAAGACGCCTTATAGCGTCTCAGCTATGTAGTACACATGTTGTAGACTGCCGGGGGAGAACTATAGGGGTGTGTCGTCTATTATGACGCACTGCTATACCTCACCGCTGCACACGTACTGGAACACCGCTCTGACAAGCGACAAGCCTACCTGACGCGTCGTCAAAGAGCAAGCGTCCACGCTAGCACATCATATACGACCTACACACTGATCCTATACATCCCTATATTATGCCATCCGGTTCGTGACTCTCGGCGACTTGCGGGCGTAACTTGATCTACGCGCCCTGTGAGATTTACATGCAGCATAATCGGGACGGCGAAAAGATGGGGGCAGATACGCGACAAACCTAGGAGCCGACGGACACGCAAGTACGCGACGTTCACCTACAACCCGTAACCCACGTGTTGCGATAATGAATAATCACACCCAGCACACGCCGCCGCCGCTGTTTGGACCATAGAAATATATTATAGAGATACTATACAGATATAAGACTATGAGACTAACTAGTATTATTTCTATGGTTTAGACACACCGGGTGAAAATCCCACGTGCACTGAAAACGGTTTTCCCATCTCCGGTACAATCCGTGACAAACCTGCATTGATTTTTCTCGGAAGGAGGAGGGGGACTGCGCGCGTGACCAACACACGACAATTTACGGGACAACCCTACTATACCGCTGCTGCTGCTGACGCTGCTGACGCTGCTGACGCTGCTGACGCTGCTGACGCTGCTGCCGCTGCTGCTGACGCTCTCGTTGCTGCTGCTGTCGCTACTACTGCTGACGTAGCTACTGCTTCTGCGGCTGCTGCTGCCGCTACCGCTGCTGCTGCTGCTGTTACTAGAGTGGCGGCGGCTGCTACTGCTGCGGCCATCGCTACTGCGGCTGCCGCTGTCGCTGATGCTGGCACTGTCGCTGCAGATTTGCTACCACATACGACATAGTCATCATATACGGTGCGGGTATGCACTACAGCAGCGCAGACCCGGGCAAACACCCTCGCGCCCGCTAATTCACACGTGTCGGCCGAGCCGTGGCAACTTTTTCGGTGTGCTGTAATTAACTTTTTGCAATTTCTACGCGGCCATGCCTTTGTGCGGTGACAATTCCACACCTTAGAGAAAAGCAGCCTTCCGAATGGCAACACGGGACCCGGCTGATTGCATGCGAAAATTCCCGGCTATCATTTTCCATTACAGTGATTCCAACCTAACCCTCATCGCACGCATACACGCACATATGCACACACACACACGCACGCACGCACGCACGCACGCACGCACGCACGCATATGCTGATATAGTTTCAGTCCGCTCATATACAGGCGTACTTTCATAGACTGATGTCGCTGAGCAGCCAAGGACTTTTGGAATTGGTCTACTAGACTAGTACTTTCACACTGATAAGAGCACCTTAGGTGTGGTAAACTGTATAGTTATCATATATTATTATATATGATTAAACTATACACATATCTTGACTTATACACTATGGTGACGGTCCTGGCGGGCACTGTTGATACGTACGTATAGGAGACCGGGTGACAGACCATGCTAGCCCGGCTCGACTACAGCCAGAAAGCATTTGCATATAATTCCTATAGCATTTGCACATGTAATCAGGCTGCTTAACACAAAAATAACAATACTGAACGATACGTGATGCCGGCGTTATATCCTTTGGAAGATTATAAACCACTTGATGGTAAGCTGGTTATAAGACTGTAGATCCTAGTTCAGATATCTCTATATCTCGTTAAGGAGGCGAATGAATGTTCTGCTATCCGATCAAGTAGATAGATCTGCGCGTCCACGTAGATATAGGCCATGTGATTGGATCAGACGCCGTACGTAGTTGTTCCCCTGCATGGGAGACTCCGCCTACTGGCTCGCGATGTAAACAAACCAGAGTCGCTAACTAGGAAGTAACATTCTTCAACATTTTCAGCGCATTCCGATTGGATTGCCCCGCGGCTAGGTGCCATGACTAGATGGCATTTACTTGGTGGCATGGTACTAGGCAGCTAGGTGGGGGTGGGGGTGGGGGCTTTTGCTTCTGCCATGCTGAATGCCTTGCCGCGAGATTATACCCATGCCACGAACGAAGAATATCGAAAAACGTTATTTACGAGTAAATCGGCACGCCGAGTACACAGCGAGAGATGTGTTGTAGACGTGTAAGCAGGGCTGGGCAGCGCCCGAACGTTAATCTGACGACTCGATCAATGATAAATACCTTTTTGCGCATGAAGCAGAATTCACATAGTGTAACAGACTAGTCGGAAGCCGGGATGAGCGCTGCATTAAGTGCCCATGATGAGCTAATTTATGCTAGAAATCAATGACCCAAACGATGAGTGGCGTAGCATGACTAATTCAAGAGTGACCCATATATATATATATATATATATATATATATATATATCGCTCTCTAACCGTAATATACTCAGCATATGCCTATACGGAAGCTTCTTGTTTGTGTACACGGCTTAACTCAAAGTCAAATAGCTTCCGAGCTAACATCGTGCTTCACTCAGCAACGCGCACCCTAGCAACGTCTACTCCGCAAAACCTCTCAAACTGTAAGTTTACCACAGAAGGCGTTGAGGTGCCCTCGGTGGAGGGCGAGCCACGTCATGTACGAGTCACGCCCGCAAGCGCGCCCCCATCCCCATGCATGCACCCCCACGCACACACTGACAGTGACAACGCTGAACAGAACGCATTACACAAATGTAGCCATCACGTACGTTTTCATTAGGCAAACAATGCTCATCACAAATGCCCGGCAGCTAATAATTATTATATGTATATAGGTATTTGACTATCGTTGTACTTGGCGGTTGTAACTAAAAGCCTCGCCTACAAACTAATGGTGATGGTTTCGGAAGCTTAATATAATTGCCGATTTATTGATGCGGCTGGTGAGGGTGATACCGGAATGACTATATAGGGTGGCCTACATATCAACAATATCAATTGCACATAGACCACGGAGATCGGCCTCAGATGACTATTTACATATATGTGTTTCACATAAATGCGGATACATTGCGCCCCCATCACCTCCACGTGCATCACAAATACTACACACATGGGCATATATACGCAAACATGCATACTTCTGCAGTACCAATGTCAAGCCGTAATTTCGATAACCACACACTGCGAGGCAACAGCACCTTTGTTGACACATTCTGCGACATCTGTATACTGAGGGTTATAGCGTGCAACTACACGGACCTATATTCTCAATTATTAACAGGTCAGATCAGTGCGTGAACCATAACTATACTGTACACGGCTGAACATGTAATACATATATAATCAGGAGTAAATAATAATATGTCTATTATTATTCACCTCTGATATAATATACAGAATATATAGTAATATCAAGAGTACATGAATAGAAAATAATAATACATCTATTATTATTCACTCCTGATAATATACAGCATATACTCAGGAGTACACGAATAGATGATGCCCCCACCTGATAATATCTGAGCTGCCTATATACCAAGACAGTGCTGCTAGCCTCTCTAATGACCCATGCATGCTTGAGGGTAACCTTTGCCGACCCTCAACCTCTAAGATAATCTTAACTACCACATAAATCTCCGCCGCTCGATCTCCTCATGACCAGAACATTTAAATATACATTTAGTTTAAGCTTTTTGTCTCCGTATTTTAGTCGAACTTAAATTCACTCACGGCCTCATCGTGTAAACAAGTGTCTAACGCTGAATGAGATACCGCGTTAAACCCTTTTAAATACATTAATAACAGGAAATTATCATTCCTCGCATTTCTCCCGGACAGGTAAACCACATGCTCTGCTCACGAATTAACTAAAGCAAAAGTAGGTTCAATTAAATACAATGACTCTGTGAACTGAATGAGACGAAAATAAGATTATTTTCCACTTATAGAGCTCAAACTAACTGAAAAATGCAGGTTGAATTATATATACTTACGTTCCTATAGTTTTGCCAACTGTCGTTCAAAGCATCTAGATGTCATCCGTATATCTATACGTGCTCAGCATCTAAAAGAGAAGGCGAAAATTGGCACATTTACTAGAGTGGAAATTTGATCTAATACGCTCCCATAGCGCTAAGACTTACACTACTTCTTCTGACATAGCGGTATTACCATTATATTCATCAGTAAATATGCTGTACGTTTGTTACACTTTTGTTGGCTTTTCCTTATCGATACAATCAAGAGCGTAGATTCTTTACGCTCTTGATACAATCGTTGTGTACAAACAACAGCTGGTAAGTACAAACACATGTAAAAACTCCCCCACAGTCAGCTTTCTCGGGCTCACCAAGCAGTAAACCACATCGTCACGATGATCGTGTAACGGCGGCGGCTATAATTGTAACCGCAATCGACTCCGCAACCAAAAATAATAATAATTAAAAAATTCCCAGAAAAAAATTAAAAAATTACAACACATATCAAAGCAATCACATTTTGTGCCGAGGGAATGAACTTGAACGTAGGCTGGCTTTCACTGATTTTCCGCCTACAGCGCATGCGCGTTTTATGATGATAATATCAGGACGTTTGCTTGTGAAAGATCAGATAAATTGATTCATATTACGTGGAAGAAACGACCACGATTTACCTTAAAAGCCTACCTCACTCAAAATACACGTGTGTGCCACTTCATCTTTACATCACGACAATAACCAGGATCGAGTGCCGGCATGCAATTCATCTCCATCTCACCCCCACTTCGCTTTCTTTGTCTGTCTGTCTATCCGTCCATCCGTCTATCTGACTGTCTGCATGGCTCTCTTTTTCTCTCTCTCGTTCTCTCTCTCTCTCTCTCTCTCTCTCTCTCTTTCTCTCTTTACCCCTCTCCCTTTCTCTTTCTCTCTCATTCTCGCTCGCACACGCTTGCTCGCAATGACTCACAAACACATTTTATGTATCTCCGATTCTCGTATACTCTAAGCAAGCCACATACAAGGCAAACCAATACAGAGCTGTCGCATCCACACACACACGCTTGTGCCCGTAGCGAAACCCAGCCCGCTTGTACCCAGCCAAATAAGAGAGACGTCTCCACGTCTCGTTACCCACGCGCGATCTACTGTCACCCAAACCCATCGTACATCATCAACCCACACAGTGAATTAACAACTGCTGCTGCCCTCCCTCTCAACTGCCGACTCAAGAAGGCGGCGCGCTATACGGACACGCGAGAGGAAGCATACCATGTGCGAGACTCTTGCCTCGAGACTCCGAACACTTGCCGAGGCGATTCTGCGCGCCACCGATCTTTCGCATGGCTTCACAAACCACTCCCGCCGCGATCCGTGTGAGGAACACACGCGCGCGTGCCATGCGCACAGCGCAACACAAAGAGGAGTGCATGTGGGAGGCTGGCGTACATATACCTCCCGCGTGCGTGCGTGCGTGCTTGCGTGCTTGCGTGCGTGCGTGCGTGCGTGCGTGCGTGCGTGCGTGCCCGCGGCCGCGAACCTCCTGTGGCTCGATTCCATATCGATTGTACAGCTCAAGTGCAAATGATTCACAGTCGCCCTGTCCGGCTGTGTGTGTGTCTACTCCATCCACACGCCCAGGCCATTAATCAATAACTTCGCGATTTAATAAATATCAACGATAAAAAATGCCCAATTTTCTTATGATGACATACATTTCGCAAACCGACTTATCTGCTAAGTATACTTGTATGCGTATCTGCTAGGACATTTTGGCGTGTAAAGATCTTGCGTAGAGATTTGACCGGTTGACTTACATCCATTACGTTATCTTAGTAATCATAGCCCTCCAGCTTCTGCATGTGCCACATGTTACAAATTACATAGTTACGCTGTCTGGTGCGCATACCTGGTACAAGACAACCACATTCCTGGGCGAACGCAATAGCCACATAATGTATGCACACATCATGTCATTTCTACAGTATCTTGTCATGCACACATGTAATCAGCAACACAAACAAGTACAGCATAACATAACATCTACACTCATGGAATATGCGACGTTATTAGTTATCTGAAGGAAAATAACTGGCGCAGCCTCCACGCCACGGCCCAGGATGCCCGCGGTACCGGCGCAGCCTCCACGCCACGGCCCAGGATGCCCGCGGTACCGGCGCAGCCTCCACGCCACGGCCCAGGATGCCGCCGCCGTACCGGCGCAGCCCTGCCACGCCACGGCCAGATGGCCCGCGGTACGCGCAGCTCCACGCCACGCGCCCAGGATGGCCCAGCGTACCGGCGCAGCTCCACCCATGCCGCAGGATGCCGCGGTAACCGGCGCAAGCCTCCACGCCCACGGCCCAGGAATCCGCGCGTGTACCGGCGCAGCCTACCACGCCACGAGCCCAGGATGCCCGGTACGGCCGCAGCCTCACGCACACGCCAGGATGCGCGCGGTACCGGGCGCAGCCTCCACGCCCACGGCCCAGGATGCCCGCGGTACCGGCGCAGCCTCCACGCCACGGCCCAGGATGCCCGCGTGACCGGCGCAGCCTCCCACGCCACGGCCCAGGATGCCCCGCGCGTACGGCGCAGCCTCCCACACCACGGCCCAGGATGCCCGCAGGTACTCGCGCAAGCCTCCACGCCGACGGCCCAAGGATGCCGCGGTACCGGCCCGCAGCCTCCACGCCACGGCCCAGGATGGCCGCGGTACCGGCGCAGCCCCCACATCATGGCCCACCATGCCCGCAGCACCGGCCCACCATGCCCGCAGCACCGGCCCAGCCTCCACGCCACGGCAGAAGGCTGAACAAAAACTTTGAAACGGAAACTTTGAACAAAACCCGCCCGATAGCCTTCTACTGGGTAGGACTGGCGAATGGTGACGCCATCTTTACCAGATGTGCCCTTCTATGTATTATTCACATGTAAAACTCTTACCCTTTCAGTTGCAAAATACGACAGGACTTCATTGCTACGCCTCCGAACGATTAGAGACCTACGTAATGCCACAGCGAAGTGCAACGAACAAAATTTTTCCATATTCATTCTGCTAGCCCTTACTAATATAAATACATAATAACGTAATATTAAAAATATAGTGTTGTATTATACCGTGACGTCGAGCACCTCTCGTTTACACTGAGCCTAACCCGTGAAGTCGAGCGCAGCTACTGTCAGAAATAGGGGCGTCAGAAATTTTGAGGAAGATTTAGTGCGAGTGCCTTGACAGACGTCCTATGCGACATTTAGGATGCGTTAGCCACCAATGCTAAGAGTAGGGCTTATTTCTAGTTCTAAAATGTTCTCCTTGAAACAGGTAGTTGTGATCGGTTCACAAGCTGCAATCCCTGCGGTGTATACTGCGCCTGCCGCTCAGGGCGCACACGATCGACAGCAAGGCCCCAGACTGCTGTACAAGTAATGAAAAACAGAAAATGCACATGGCTTTACAGCTGTACCAAGCTAGCGTACAAAGTAGAAAAGCTTCACTAGATGGAGATTGCTCCCAGAGCGCGTAAGGCCATATGGTCCCCTTACTTTGACTTAAAGGATGTGTGTCGTAGCTCGCACAACACTGTAAAAACTGCTGGTTCACTAAAATTCCACATAATTTGATCCGAATTTCGTCAGTTTCGAGCATCATGTCATCCTACAAAAGGCAGGGCTGTTACAATTGTTCCTAATCATTTACATACATAAAATCGAGAACAGAACCATCTAATCAGTATGTGACAGAATATATGTCAAGCTCTTATAAATCATTAAATCATTCTTTTAATAATGCAGCTACCTTGTCCATCAACCGATCCAAATACTACTACTACCACCACCAGCATACCTGTACTGGTTCCTACCTGTACCTACCCATCTCCTCATGACATCACCACCCACTAGTGACTATACCACTATCACCATCACCACAATGTCTGTAAGCTACCTCTCCATCACACCACCAGCATACCTGCGCTGTCTATCTCCTCACCACACGATCCACACTATGTCAACACTATCTCCACTATGCCACCGCACAGTACCTCCCCCTTAAAGAGCCATTTACCACACAGTATCTCATCACAATAAAAACATCCACCAAATTCCCACCTCATCTGACACACTGCCACCAACTAAAACGTCATTATTTCCCCCACCTACATGTAATTACTACCTACGCACTGCGCAGCAACTCCAGTCTGCCACTGCGCCGCAACAGATTCTCCGCATGTTAAAATTCTTCTCTAGAACGGCTACACTGCTGTAATCTGCAGCCCCCGTGTGGCTCCTGTACTGTGCATCTGATTAGAGGTGCCGCGGGTCTTTAAGTAATCACCGCCAAGCTGGAACGCCTAGCAGCTGGGTGGGAGGAAAGTGCATGTACGCTCAAACCAAGCTGTAGCAGGCGCTTCATACGACAACAGAAGGTCATTATTTTACGATGGAAGGAGCCAGATGGGTGAGAGGAAGTATACGCATACATGTCATACTGTACAAGGAGAGTTAATAGCTTGGTTAGTATACACCGGTAGGTATGCATGCATGGAGTCGATCGTGATGCTGGTGCAGAGAGGCAGATGGCATACGGTTCAGCATGAGAGATTTATGGTCACTTACTGCACCCATGACCACAGAAAAGGCGCACGTACACAGGTTATAAACAAATTTCAAAAAATAAAAGAATCATTATACAGCCCTATTATATTACTGGTTCTAAAAAAACATGCACAGGGCCACTTCATCCAAGAAATCTATGTGCTCCTGAAAGTGTGGAAAATCTGATGTACTAGTATGCAATGCCATCACACTGATAAAGAAAACGAGTTGCAACATTAACGTGTCTATTTGACGTCCACACACTACACAAAATGACTCCGTGCTTGAAAGACCACCCGACAATGACTGCTAACTGCAATCCATCATCTCATCCGAACAATTTGCACAAGGTCTATGACTTGCACTGCGCCTGCCATGTACCATCGCCGACCGTGAAGGCTGATCGGTGTGTACCTACAAGCTAGTCAATCTTCCTGGGCTAACTTCGAGCGCAAAAGCTATTACGTCTTCCCGATGCACCCGCGACTGTCAA